TTTACCTGGTAGCGTAGAGGCACAAAAATTGTTGATCCAAAACTAGAGGCTACCTGGGTTCAGATTGCCATAAAAATCCCTAAAGCAAAATTCCACACAGATCTCTTTATAATTTAAATGACTCAGTTTTCCTGTACCAGCCTTAAAATCAAATTTCTCCCAAAATAAGAGTTTCTTCTTCTGCATGTTTCAAGTCTACCGTGTCCTTTCATCATGTCTCTTAATCATCTTCTATTACTTATGCCAATATTGAAATACCCTACACTATGGCTTCCAAACTGTGCCTTTCTCACCTGCATGCCTTTGTTTTCTTGTTTTCATAATTTTTATTCCCAGATGTCTTTTATGTTAGCTTTTTCTAGTGGGCTGATACTCAGATGACATTTTTTGATTATCTCCTCAATCTTTCTCTTGCCAGATGATCTTATCCACATCTTTTAGAAGCACTTCTGCTCTGAAATCCTTCAAATGTCTGCCTTACCAACACATTTCATTCTTCTGAGCTGACACAAATACCCACAATGCCTATTTTACAATCTCAATTGGTACTGCTGTTGAAATTTACATATCAAAACCTGTTTCTAGAATATTTGAAGTCTTGTTTCTCTTGTGTAATAAACCTGTATGTGTTTCTTCAAAATATTTATCGAGGGACTACTTTGTACCAGATTTTAAGTCAGGTGCCCAATGTATTATGTTAAACAAGGTGTCATGGTTTATGTCTGTGTCCCCCAGGCCTCATGAGTTTGAATTGTGCGTTTGTTATTCATTCATTGTCTAGTGCTTGAATTGATGGTGTCAGTGAGCCACCCACATAGGGGTGGAGCCAAGATGTGACCTAATGGCAGGAAGAAGGTGTGTCTTGCTCTTTTCTGGTTTGAGTTTGCTGTTTGTAGCCGCCTTGAACTGCAGGCCAGCCATGCCCGCCTGTCTTGGAGCCAACTGAGTGTGGACTGAAACCTCCAAAAACTGTAAGAAATAAACCTTTCCTTTCCCAACTTGGGCATCAGGTATTTTGTCTCAGCGACGAGCATAAACTAACTAGGACACAAGGTAAACATTTATTTTACTCTTGGAACCTGCATTCTAATTGAATATAGAAAGATAAAAAGGCTAATCATGCTGTAGTCTATGGGGAAGGCCTCCCTAGCTTTTGACAGTATCTAACCTATGGAACTATAAGTCATCATCCTGCAAACAGAATGTCAAAAGAACAAACGTAATATGTTAATTTTAAGCCAATTATAAGCTTTCTATTCTGATTGTTACTTATTTTATTGCAATTGTCCTTATTTTTTCTGCTGAGTTGCCACAGTAGCTCTATAAACAACTTTCTGTCTTTCCTCCCCAGTTCCTATCTTATTCATCCACTCCAGTGTTGCTAGAATACTTTATCTAAAATTTCAAGATAACTACAATCTTACCACGCTTAACTCTGCCTGTTGAACAGAATCTAAAGTCTTAAAATTCCCTCAAGCCTTTATTAAGGGAGCTTCCTTTCTGTATTTCATACCTTTACACATCTCTGATGCGGACACTCTAAGACCTTTACCAATCTCCATCTAAAGCAGCATTCTCATGATTGGATGCCTCCAAATATGCTTAGCTAGCTACCATGACCTTAGACACTCATTCCTGACACCAGTCTCTTCCTAAGAACCACTGTAGTCAGACTAGTGCCCAGTTCTGTCCTCTCGTTACACCCCGGGTCCATTCCTGCCATGTCACTGATAGACACTAATCATAAATCTGTCTCTCTTTCCTGCTACAGCTTTTGAGCAGTAGGGATTCTATTTTTGTTTTCTTGATTACCTAATTTTGACTTCAGTAATAGTACCTTGCATGTAAGACTCTAGTAAATATTTGGGGAACAAATTAATTGGTGACAAATAGTTTATCTCACTTATTAATGAGATTCTTCCTCATATCATGATATGAAGTCACATCCAGCTCACAATGGAAAATGTTTTCTTAGCTTGAGACCAAATTTCCTCCCTATCTGCATGAAAGACCCTTCAAAGTATCTAGTAAGAGACTTCCTGAAAAGAAAAAAGTGATTTTACCTTTTCCTCAAATTTAAGACTTCTTTCAGAAGCATATTTTGATCGCTCCTTCAGTAGGAATAGTATTTTCTCAATTGAACTTAATATTTTTTAACATAAGAGTTAATATTTGCAATAAGAAACTTTATTTGCAATATTCTTATTTGAGAATTTATTATTTATTATTTGCAAAATTTCTTGTGTGCAATAAGAAATTCTCCACATATATGTTTCCTTTCCTAAGACAATATGTGCAGATTCTTATAATAAATAAAAGACTGGTATTTCTGGGAGTTGTATTTGTTACTTACTCAATTGCTGGCAATTGAGTAAATATTTTTTAATTTTATAAACCTAAGGCATTAAAAAATACATAAATTTAAGTAGTGCAAAATTATATATTATACACACACACACACACACACACACACAAACACACACACACATGTTGGAGACCACTACCCAGCAGCTCTGAGGAGGATTTAAATTTTACTAATTGGCTTTCTATGTTTATCTGTGAGTCTGTCCTAGGCCTCGGCCCCTTGCCTGGCGATGGGAGCTGATTCATAGTAAGTGAACCTCTGTGAACCACTGGTCCTGGCTGAGGCCTGTAGTGGCCTGTGAGGCCAGAGATAGCTCAAAGGGCAAGACAAGGCCACAGCTGAAGACACTTTGGCTCCAACACTAATTAAATAGAGATGGCAGCTGAAGGAATTTCACTCCTGCAGTCTCACTCCTACCATAATGTCATCTGGAGATAAAAAAGTTTCTCCTAAATTGTCATAATTTACTACTTGGAGAAGTCTTTGAAGTGATTCCCAAGGGTCCTGCTCATTTTTCTCCTGCTTTCCTCAGTTTCCCTGTCCTTTGTTGTTGGACCTAATAAAAGTGGGCTGGTCCAGAGAAGTCTTTGTTTTAGCCCTTGGAGTCTCCAGCTCACTAAAGGATTTTGAACCTCCTGGAGCCCTAAAATTATACCACTTGTTACATTTTATTTAAGCCTTCACCATACACTCATTTGGGAGATCAGGGATCTAGGTCAGGATCCAACATGTATCCACAGTTAATTCAATACAAGAAGAAAGTAATTTCACATCTGTCACCTTCCACATGGCCACCAGTGTAATGTTTGTGTGCAAGAGTACCTAAAATCTGCATTCAACACATTTTTAGTACCTAATACAATATTAATAACCATATCCCTACTACTATACATTAGCTCAGCAGATTAATTTATCTTACATTACTGTCAGATATTTACCATGCCTTGTTTAAAGAATGAATAAAAATAGTCCTTTGGATTCTGCTCCCAGTATACTACTAAACTGTTTTCAAAAGTTCAATTATTTTCTTTCTTTCTCCCATTTGATTTCTCAGCCTGTCCTTCAGAGCCCACCTCTCAATCCTGGAAAGGTAGACTGTTTATTTTCCACACAGTGGACCCTTCTGATGCTTTGGCTTCTTGGGCTTTTCCTCAGTTGGTTGTTTGGTTAATGGTTTAATCAAAACATTAAACGATCGGTGCCCGGAGGATATCTCCTTTCCTCTAAGGCCATTTCTTGTTTTATCCCTTTCATGCAGTCCAAATTCCTTATATTTTTCATAATTCCATAATACAGGCATAACAATAAATTTATTTCAATAATATGTGTAATAAGCATATGTTTTGATGAGTATAGTTCCTACAATAACACTGAACAAAAGGAAGAAAAAAAGAAAAGAATGAACCACTGAATAATTTTAGCAAAAGTAATTTATCTAACACACAGCCTTAAAAGGACGTTTTATGATTATATAATCCTTATAGAGACAGGGTAACATGGAGAAGAGGAAAACCTATGCGTTATTTTGTTCTGTAAACTGTATGCAGTGATTCAGATCATGTCAGCAAATATAAAATCATTCATGCTTGTGTGATCTGGTTTTAACCCACAGAAAAGGGTATTTGTGCATTTACCACAGCAAAAGTTTGTAGCCGCCTCCCTCAGGCAAAAGAGCTTAAGTGTCTGCTAATGTGGATTGGCTTGCTTAAAAGAGGATAAAAAAGGCAAACCCTCAGGCAAGGAGACAATTTAAATTGAGTCAATTTAGGAAGCATAGCAGGCAAGCAGACAATTTAAATTGAGTCAATTTAGGAAGCATAGTGCCTCAGCAAACTCAGAAATTAATCCAGATTAAGACATTTCACTTTTAGGATCTATGTCAGACACCAGGTCTACAGCTGTATCTTACAGGTTGGCCTGTGTTCCAAAGGACACCTTCAAAAATTGCAGCGCTAAGCCGCCAGCAGGTGTAATTTTTTTTTTTTTAATATAGCAATTGGGATTGCAAGGGTTGAAATTTACTCTAATATGTAATTCTAGAAATTCAGGTAGGTCTGAAACGTATTTTTGTCTTTATAATTTATTGAAATTTATGCCTTTACATGGATGTTTAATCTGCAAATTTCATCGAAGCCACAAAGGGACCATTGAGCAAGTTACTCACAAGTCCCTAAGTCTCTAAAGCAAACTGGAAACTTTAATTGAAATGTCGTCACTTACCCCTAGTCAATCTAAAGATACAAGACAGTGATCTTTTACCCTTTAAAACTGTGTACAGAGACTAAAACATTTATCATTGAGTTCCACAAATTCTGAGACGGATCCATAAATAAACTGTATAAATTAAACATGTTAAATGAAGCAGTTCCATGCACCAAACTGTGAAAATCTTCAAGACATAGTCCATATTGCTCACTGTTTCTCCTGCAATTATATTTTATGGACACACACTATAAGTGACTGTAAGTTTCTTGGGATTTGTTTTAAATATTTTTTTGTTGGGAAACAAACTTCATATGTTTGGATCTCTTTCATATAGAAATACTTTATATAGTAATATTTTCATCTCATATAGAAATATTTCAGGGGATCTTCATGAGTTAAAAATTCTCTGAAAATTGTAACATAATCTTACCTTGCTTCCGTTTTCTCTTGTCTCACGTTCCATCTTGAGGTCAGAGATTAGAATATTCTTGTACTTGTTTTTCCCATTGCTGCTGTGGTCATCTATTCTGTATTCTGAAGTCAGCTGCGCAGAGAGAGGGCTGTCACTCAGGTTCAGTGGCTGCTCCTCTGGCTCTAGCCCAGTTTTGCCATCACTGTTGGTGTCTCCCATCTCCCTGCCGTGTGTTGCCCCTGAAGCAACTGAACTGTGCCCCAGAGTCTCAGTGCCATTAAAACTCTCTGCAGCAGAATCATCTGTTGGGAAAAAATTCATAGTTTGATTTTAACTAATGTATTGCTCACTTTCTATTTTAATTAGCATTAAATGAGTATCTATTACATGTATGAAATCCAACCCAACAAATATTATACATAAGGTGAGAATAATATAAGGCAGCTATTGGTATTTTTAGTGTACTTAGTAGGCACATGAAAGAAAAAAAGTGAAATGAAATAATATGAAAAAGATAAATATTTCAACATCATACACAATCTCAAAGTAAATTCAACACAGAATAACATAATCATCAGGAAATAGATTTTTTCAGCTGTTTAATGGAGATATACACTGATAAAATTTGATAAGGCATCTTACATATTAAAAATAAAGTTTGCTTCATTCATTACATTTCTCAGACTTTAAGTCTCTGAGGTTTAATTATTGTGTCCATCACTGTGTAGATGAAAACATATTTATATCAGTGTTGATTTGAGTAAAAACATTGCAATCCACATAAACTAACAAAAATAGAAGACTAGGTTAGTGAATGTTGGACTAGCTAGAATGTTAGTGTGGTTGTTCAATACTTTGTTTGAGATACAGGGAAAATAGGAGGCATGCAAGGAAAGAATGGAGGGCTGGGGATTTAGCTCAGTGGAGTAAATGCGTGCCTGACAAGCACAAGGTCACGAGTTTGATCCCTGGTACAAAAAAAAAAAAAAAAAAAATGGAGAAAGCTTCTGTCATTAATATGATACGGTTTGCTAAGAAGAAAATAGGCCATCTTTAGGTAAAACTATAATACTCTATTTCAGCCAGGAATGGTGGAATGGTAGCTCATGTCTGTAATTTTAGCACTTAAGGGGCTGAGGCAGGAAGATTTCCATAAGTTCAAGGCCAGTCTAGGCTATACAGTGAGTTCAAGGTGAGACTACATAGTGAAAGACTACATAGTGAAACCCTGTCTCAAAAAAACCCTTTATGTTTCATAATTTCCTCTTTACCTATATGATAAGAATTTGTTACTAATTATAATAAACCAAAGTATTAAATTATTAAAGACTATTAATGAAGCCGTAAGAATGTATGCAATCAAATAATAGTATTTAACATTAGATTTTTTAGTTTTATTTTTTGAATATTATCAATTATGCATTTTTGATGGATGAAATATTTAATGTCTTATAGTCAGGGAGATACTTAATTTTTAAAGAAGTTACATATCACTTCTTCATGTATTTCTTTAACATGCATTAAGTTCCTGCCTTGTGACCCATAGGCAATTAAATATTTGCCTTACAGGGACTGTCTTCCATAAGTTTGTTCACAGGTAATTAAGAGACATAAAAATAAACATGCAATTAAAATGCAAAGTAAAGAGCCTAAATCCAGTACAAGAATAAAGACATCCCTGAAGGCCTCCTAAAGAAGGGGTGAGAGTTGAATTGTGAGAGGTTAGCCTGGAGGAGTAGGTGAGGGAGAAGATTCTCCTTGGAGAGTCCAAGTGCAAAATCTCAGATGAAGGAATACGCAGGGACTATGAGAAGTCAGGTTGCAGCACTGGGCACCAAGGTGAGAGAGAGAGAAAGAGAGAGAGAGAGAGAGAGAGAGAGAGAGAGGAAAAACTTAGAAAAGGAAGCAGAGACTATCTCAGGAAGCACACTGTGTATCAAAAAGCTTAGTCTTTAAGAGTCAACGACACAATTTTGATTCATCTCAGGAAATGACTTGGAAAAATCATATTTTAAGAAGATTATTTCAGACTCTGATGAGGACAGTGGCATGAAGTTGGAAAGATCAACAGAAAGATCTAGATGTCTCCAAGTTAGCATCTGTGAAATTTGAACTGAAGCAGTGGTGGCGCAGGAGAGGAGACAACTAGAGCTGCCCTAAGAATAGAGCAAATGATGGAAATGGAAGGGACAACAGCCTAGCACAAAGCTCAGGGGTTTCACGGGGAACCCAAGTGAGTTAACTTTAATTTTCAGTAAAGTTTTAAAACAAATGTTCAAAGTTTATACAGCAGTTAAAACATATTCAATGGTACAGTTCTGTTAAGGTACTTTTTTAAATGTACCCATTCAAGAGAAAAGTTCATACAGAGAACATACAAAGGAAATTTTAAGTAATTAGCCATAAATATGACACAGCAGTTTCCACTGCCATTAATTTGAGAAATCAAAACTAATCTTTGAGCTAGGTATGCTGGCGCAGAGTTGTGGTCCCCTTATTCTGGGAGGCTGGAACAGAAAGAGCACAAATTCTAGATCAGACTGGGCAACTGAGCTGTATAGTGAGATCCTGCCTCCAAATTAAAAAAATGAAAAAGGGCTGGATAGAGATGGAGCTCAGTATAAAGGTCTTAGGTTTAATGCCCCATAACGGGTGAAGGGGGCAGCTTTAACAATGAATGTGCAGGGATTTTGAAATACAGAATTAGGAGAATGATTTAGATAAACAACTCAGAACTAGGTGCTGTGGTTCTAGCTGAAGTCCTTGTGCTAATATATAAGTTATTTCTAACTTTTAAGTTATTATTTTCTGAGAAAATCCAAGGAAAAAGCACAACAGGCAGAATCAAGTATAATTAATTCATGAAGAAAAATATTTAAAACTTATGTACTAGAATTCTCTTGAAACACTAATTATTTAATGTAAGAAAACTTCATTAAAATAGCATAAATAACCCCAAATATACATACCTAAAATATTTTAAAACCAAATATATGTTAATATAAAACAAATTCAATTTTAATTATGGTTAAAAATCAAACATGATATATCTATTCTTTTAATGAAATCACTAGGTGTGTATATCTAGTAAATACTATATCACTTATTCATTTTAGGTAAGATAAACATTATCATTTATCAAGAGAGGTTTTTATAAGTGTTATTTAATTATAACTTTGGCATAAAATATAAACAATAAAGGAGAAATAATTTTATCTGGAGTGTTTTACTCCAGATGTTACCAAGGTAACAACACTCAACAGCTTTACATATTTCATTCCTGAGAAAATCAGTACATTTTATAAAGATTTGTTTGTGTCAACTATAGTCATCTATTTTGTAAATAAAATAGTAAAAAATGCCTCATGCTACTGTTTTATAAATAAAAAAATTAAAACAAAGTTTCGTTGTTTTTGTTTTAAAAAATCAACATAGAACAGTGAGTGAAAATTACATGGGTAATAAATTAACACTTTTGCATTGACTGATTTCATGTCATCACGTTCTGTTTTTATCTCTTCCTTAAAAATACTGTTTTTTAAAAATTTAAAATGGCAGACTTCCTTTTTGTCACACCCAATTCACATCGATCCACTGCTTTGATGGGGCAATCTGTTTCCTTACCCAACATTTTGTTCCATCCCAAGTGGCCCCTCCTGGTGGTCTCCTCCAGGCTGCTACACAGAAATCTGTGGGCCAGACCTTCAGGTTCAGAGGCCCAGAGCAAAGATTCCTTCCAGAATTCAGCCTGGATGTCGTAGCATTTGTATCAAAAACTTTATCAATATTTGAGTCCCAAAGGAAAACAACACCTGGAACTTGAGAAAATAAGTGTGCCTGGGGTACCTAGCAACAGAGCAGAAAAAGGAACGGGATGACAGGGTAGTATGGAATCCGTGACATCAGGAGGGCAGTTGGATGTTTAGATTTTATTTATTCTGAGGAGAGTACTGACGGGATGGGATTGGTGCTGTAGTGACACTGTGTTAAATTAGCTCCAACAAGCTCTAGTTTAGAAGGTCTAATAACACGAACAGTAAGTGGTAGACTATTCGTGTTTTTCTTTCTCCTTTTCTACTCATTTCCCCATAACTTAATAGAGAGCCTACAAATGCTATATTTAAATTACTTTGAACATCTCATCAGTGTTTTGCATAAACACAGTTTTAATAGAATCGGATTCAATGGTTAGCTCTCTAAATAGGGAGTTTATAGCTATATCTACCGTGTGTGTGTGTGTGTGTGTGTGTGTGTGTGTGTGTGTGTGGGTGTGCACGTGTGTGATCTCCCAAAACACTTTTTCTTTTAGTCACTTTCACTACTTCATCTTCCTCTTCATTTTGGCCTTTAGGACCAGTGTCTTGGGCAAAATGGATAGAAAAAAGTATCATTCTCATTTTAAGATTATTTACTTGGAACTTTTCTCTTAAAATCCAGGTCAGATGCTCCAAAGTCCACAAGTATTTTAATGTTTTTCCAAAATGCATGACAATCCTTTACCACTAGTCTTTCAATGAAGCCTTAAGAAACTTATTCCAAAAGATTAGTATCAGAATATCTGAAAATATAAAAAAGTTAAAATTTTCTTTAAATCAAAGAGTTTAGGTGCAATGTCCCTTTATGCTTTCTGATCTCTGCTCTATTCTTCTCCTAAACACAGTGTCTGCTATAAACAGAGGATGCCTGTCCATTCCTAGACCACATATTACAGTTTACTCCCTCTGCTTTATAGCACAGGGACCTGATCCTGTCCAAATTGACCCCTCCGTGCTTCCCATGCCAGACCCCGACTCCTGTCCGTTCCTTGCCACTGTTTTGCCATGTGGCAGTTTTTTCCTCATTTCCCTTCTTCAAAATTTGTGATGACATGTGCAGTTCCTGCCTTTCTATTTTACTCATCACTTATGATATGATCTTAAACGATGATATAGCTTTGTTCTCTATATAATCTTTTGTTATTTCACATGCAAAAATCTTAACTACTGACTACAAAAGTCCCATAATTCCAAGATTTAGAATTCTAAAAATACTTGTAAAAGTAAGTAATTAAGAATGCAACCCCCCTTTTTGTTTAAATTTGCAAAATATGATTTGGATTCTGTATTATTTGGCAATGTAATCTCAAGCTCAAATGAAAGAATGGTGACTCATCTTGAAGTCAAATATACACACCAAGGACTTTACTGATGATGTAAATAAATACACACCTGTATGGATATCACTAACAGAGCAAATGACTGATTTTAAAATGAAAAAAAAAATGATTTCCCCAAAAACAGAGAAATAATGAAGGTTCAAATTG